TCATGCCGGTGGTTAAAAAAACACACAAATGTCCCGGGGAAAAGAGAGAAAGTGTCCCTGATGGTGATCACTCTGCAGAACACACACTGACCTCATGGCCTTCACACATGACGGGGTTTGGAAACGAGCCAATCATATTGACAGATGCTGATGAGTTTGGCCGTGTTGGAGCGGCCACTTTAATATCGCATAAAGAAAACCATTGGACTGTACTACTTTCTAATAACAAATATAATGTATAATACATTTGAAATGGCAGCGCATTGCATTGGAGAGCTGGAGCGGGAGCGCTATAAGGTCATCTGTGATGCAAAGTCTTGATATGTGATATTTGAGAGACCTTTAAGGCACTAAAGAAATGCGTTTAAAAGTAGCACATCATGGGGGAAACAGGCAGGACCTTTCTGCAGCCTGACAGCTCCAGCTGCAGGGCTTCAAACCTCACTTTACAGACAAGTCCAATGCACAAATGTACCACATCCTGACAGAAAAAGTCAGACATTTGAGTTTAGAGTTCACTGTAAAGTTGGGGCAAAAACATCCACCTCAACGTCACAAAAAAGCAGTTGTCTAACCATCATCTAAACGCAAAATAAAGTATATTTGCCTGTTCAGGTAAATTCATGTCCAAAGCTGCTATAACCAATGTCTTTATAAACACAATTGATCAAATGTGAAAGAGGTCACATGTCACATGTACCCACAGCCATATATCACCAAACTCTGCAGACGCACAGCTTAAAGGTGGGGTAGGTAATTTTGGAGAAACCGGCTCGAGTGCGCTAGAATTTGAAAATACACAACCGGAGAAAATCTGCCACTTCCTCACAGAGCCCCTCCTCCAACACACACGAACGCGCACATGACCAATGAGGGCACGAGATAAGTTTGTGCACAGATGGAAGGCTGACAGGCAGGTAGGCCATCCAGTTATTTTAGCCGGGCCGGCTCAGATGATTGGTCGTGCTTTTTACAGCGCTACGGCTTCCACAGATGACATTTTTTGATGGATTTTTTGTCAAAGCACTTCAGATATTCATTGCTATCGGGATGTTAAGAGCATTCCATGGAATATAACAAAAAGTGTATCTCGAGCCGGTTTCTCAAACTTACCTACCCCACCTTTAATGTAGCATTTAATTGGAAAAACTACCTAAATAATAAGCTGGAATTGAACTAAAACTAGCAAAATGACTCTGAAAATGTACTAAAAAACTGAAAATTGATTAAATCAGGACGTATTTAGGATTAAAAACTGTTATTACCTTGGCTATCTTTGCATCTAACAACAGTTTTTTGTCTAAGAGTGGTGATATAAACCAATAGAGTAACATGGTCTAAAACAACAATATCTGCAAATGCACTTGTATGTAAAAGATAGTATTGTGCTTATCATCATCTAAAGGCAAAATAAAATATATTTGCCTGTTCACCTGCAGGTAAGTAATGTCTAAATATGTTGCCGATGCTATAAGGAAGCTGGTTACAATCTCTGAATCTTCTCTGCACAAAATGTATTCAGGAAAATGTAAAAAACGGGCCTAAAGAAGCTGAGTCTGCTGGTGTTCACTTGCCAAAGAAACATCAGCGTGTCACGGTCGGGCATGTTTTCTGTTTGCGTTGGGCACCTGGAACGTCTGCAGGTCGGAAGTTGGAAACTCCAACGGGGAAACATTGTCTGGAACGCATCTTGAGTGCTTTTCTGGTAGCAAACTGAAATGTGTCTGAAGCACTAAATGTCAAAAACTGTCAGTTTTAACGCTGAAGACGAAGATTAATTTTCCTAAAGCTTTGTGCTCTATTATTAAATCTGAATATGCCTGGGTTTTAGAGAAAAAGAGTAATCAAGGGATTTGAAGATGTTGTTTTAGGATTTATAAAATTGTAATCATCCCTACTTTGATCCATTTAATTTTATATAGAAAACAAGGAATAATCTCTCCTTGAAAAAAGCGTTGAATGCAGCTCTACTGAGTCGAGCAAGCAGAAAGAAGGGCTTTGTAGGAATACATCTTGTACTTTTGAAAGGCAATCATTTGGGTATCAGTAATCAAACTCTTGTATAGAGAGTTATTGAAACATTTCAAACTTGCAACATAAGGGAGAATTGGACGCAGTATGTTGCACATTTGGCGGTGTTTTAGTGAGGAGGAATCCTAAAAAGCGAAGCAGCTTGTGTCTAAAATCTGTCTGCATATCCAGTTCTGTTCAAAATGTCAAACGTCTCTTCGCAGCCACAAACACTATTGAGCTGTTGAACGTAATCAAAGATCATGCAACAAAACAACAACTCCAAATATCATCCTCTCCACGCAGATGTATATTTTTTCCATCAACACAAAACACTTGAAATGAATCCATTAAGCTGCTGATCATCTCCCCACAGAGAAGCAAAGAGGTGGCACACAGAAAAAACCTCTCGGTTGCTGATTGAGAATCGTTCTGGAATAACTAACCTCAGCGTGGACAAGAGAATATTTTCTGTCTTCCCACACCGGGGTCCTCTGAGGCCAACGTGTCTCTCTCTCTCTGATGAAACAGAGGAGTGGGCGAGCAGGACACAAACTGTTCTTCCTCCACAAACAGCAGGAGGAGATGGAGCATCCTCTCTCTCTCTGAGTCATACACCACTGGAGCACTGCCTTCCCTTTAAACCAATGCTTAGACAGTAAGGGTTAGTTTTTGGTTTTCAGTGTATTTAGTTTGGGTTTTTAACTGTTATACTATCATATTTGGGATGATATTGTAACATTGGTGCTTTCATTACAGATGTTTGATCCTAAAACGGTAAATACAATTAATGAAAAAGCAGTCTTGTAAGTTCAGAAAATGACACCACTGTACTGTAATGCAGCATTTAAAACCACGAAAAGACCACACGTGCTAAATGAAGACATCCAAACATCGGTGACAGACAGTACCTAGTCTCATCATGATATTGAGATTCTATTGATGTGTTGTCCAACCCTCAAAGCACACCCACTTTTCCTGAATGCATGTAGCTAATAGCTTATGCAAAAGGTAAATAAACCATGCCAAATGTAAGCTAAATAAACGACAACAAATATCTCTCATTTGTCAAACAAGCTTGTCCATTAAGGGAAAACCTTAACTGCCCCACCTCTTTTTTCCCGAATGCATTAAGCTAATAGCATAAACAAGAAGTAAATAAACCGTGCTAACTGTATGCGAGCTAATTTGCATCTTAACAACAACAAATGTCTTTTCATTTTTTGAATCAAGCTTGTGTTAGGGGCAGTTAAGGTTTCTCCTACTCAACGATGATTCATGCTAAATGATATTCCTAACGTGCATTAGCCTTGTTTTCTAAATGCATCTTGCTAATAGCATATGCAAAAAGGAAATAAACCCCACCGACTGAATGCAAATAAACTAATTTGCATGTTAACGATGACGAATGTCTTTCATTTTTTGAGTCAAGCTTGTGTGAGGGGCAGTTCAGGTTCCTATTAATCCACAACATGTAATCCTTAACATGCAGTACCTCTATTTTTCAGAATTCATCTAGCATAAGAAGTAAATAAACCAAGCCTGTGTTTAGGCTTATGTTAGGAGCAGTTAAGTTTCCTCTTATTCTACAGCTATTAATCCTATATGTATCTCAATCTGTTTCAATGCATCTTGCTAATTGCTCACAGTACAGACACTGAGCCGACTGTATGCAACAGCTGCATGTTAACAACAGAAAAATGTACTTTTCATTTGTCAAACCATCTTGTGTTCAGGGGCAGTTAAGGTTCCTCTTTCTCTACTACAATTAATCCTGTGATGTCCTGATGGCACAAACAAAGGTGGAGTGATGTTGCTGCAGCCAGGTGATGAAGGTGATGATGAGGAGGCAGTCAGACTTCATTAGCCTTCATCTTCACACTTCATCAGAGAGAGGGAGTGTTTCCCGCTGGCGTAATGAGCCGGAAGCATGAACAAAAGCAGATGGCTCTATGAGTCAGACAATAAGGCGCTCATAATTGAATATGTATCGTTCATTTCAATTTAAGCAGACCAGCCATTTTCCTCCCTTATGTACCTCAATGGAAAGCCATTATCAAGAGCTGCCATCACACTGAATCCAACGAGACTTCTCAATACTGGGAATAATTTATAAAGAGTCAGGGATGATGGGGCTGTGTGTAGTGATGAACGGCTCCCCCAGTATCCCTATTAGCTATTTCATTATCTATTAATCTGCAGATGATTCTCTAGATAGTCGATCAAATGTCAGGAAATAGTGAAAAATCTCCATCATAGTTCCTTTAAAATTCAGGATGATGTCCTTGAATATCTTGTTTTTGTACAAAATCCAAAGATATCCGCTTTATTTTGATCAAATCTCCATATTTGAGAAGCTGCAAGACGCTTTTTCTGACATGTTTGCATGGAGAAATGACATTAAGGATCAGAATCCATCATAAAATATTGCTGTCTATTCTTCCAACTAATCACTGCAGCTTTCCTATTATAATGCTCAACCTAGAATCCATAAACCACATTTTAATTATCCCTATAATAAAGACACTCATAGCCTGTGGTGCTCAATTGTAAGTGACCTTATTAAAGGTAGTTATGAGGTATTTATGGCTGTCATATAACTGTAACACCTCAATAGCTTTTTATAATAGCATTTTTATCTCCTTATGAGCAGTTTGTTGTTCTCTTAAACTCAGAAATATAGTTTAACTTTCTCAATGAAAGTGTAGAAGCTGAGAATAACGGAGGACGTGATTTACAATGCACATGACAGCAGCTGTCAACCTGTCACTCATGCACACTTTGCAAAACACGTGCACAAGTGTGTGTTTTCTGCACAGAAGTGTGTGTTAGCAGCATGCACAGAGAGAAACTTGCTCTAATGTGTCTTCCTCGCAGCAGGACTGTGTGCATCAATTAAAGCCTCCTTCCGGATCCAGACAAACAACTGGAACTCCTCTTCCTAATCTTCCTCCTCCTCACCCTCACAGAGCAAGTGCAACAGTACTCACCCCCAGTTTCTTGCTCCGTATCCTCACGTATCCCTGCTTCACTATGTCGTTGAAGTTGGAAGCCATGCTGAGGGGAGGCTTCCTGCCCGGGGAGGGAAATAACACACAGTAATATCTCCCAGTGTGTGTGTGTTGGTGTGTGTGTGCGTGTGTGTGTGTGTGTGTGCAGCGGTAGTGTTTCTACTGGAGGGTCGCTGGTGGGGGAGACATCCGGCGGTGGGAGACCTGCCCGGCTTCAGAGGAGCGATCCATCCGAGCAGGGAGATACCATTCAGTCAGCTGATCCTCCGAGGAGAGAGAGAGGGAGGGAGGGAGAGAGAGAGAGAGAGAGAGGAGGAGAGCTTCCTGGACCACACCATCCCAGAAACTGCGAGGGGGGTGGGGGAGGGAACCTGCAGAGGGAAGGAGCCTCATTGAAGGAGGGTGCAACCATTAATTGGCAGGAAAGAAAATGCATTTAAATGTTAAAATGACTTTCAACAGGTGAGCTATGTTAGAAAAAAAAACAGCCTCAAAATCCAAAGACCAAAATAACTCCCATAAAAGACACAGCTACAATAAACTAGTCATCCTAAGTTTCATTATGAATCTTCGAAAGAGTATTCCTGTGGTGCAAACATTATTTAAGTTATTTAAACTCCATTAGCCTGTTAAGCCCTGAGCCTGTTTTTCAGGTCTCAGGCTCAAAAATGACATTCCCAGAACAAATGATCATAACTTCACTTCTAAAAGGGGTAAATTAATAATATTTTTTCTCAAAGCAAGGTTACATCTGTGAGTTGGATGTAGAGAAGTCAGAATCAATATAGATGTTTTTATTTTAAAGTAAATTCAGATTGAACATAGTAAAAAAATGTAAATTATAGTGTCCGTCCAAAAAAAAAAGATTACTTATAGTGAAAACCACCCTTGAATGATGAGTTAGTAGACTAAAAGCTTTAGGAATCCAAACTATAACATATAATAAGTACCCTGTCTCAAGATTGATGCAAAACAAGTGAAATTTGACCTTTTTAGAGAGGTTTAGAAAAGAAAACGGGGTCATTTGGGTGCATTTTCCATATCTCTGGCCCCCCTCGTTCGATTTTGATGATTGACACCTCTTTTCAACCGTTAGAGCCAATAGAATCGTGAGGGGAGTTCCTAAAATCCATCTAAACATTACCCATTGGTGAATGAGTGCTGCGCAGCCAGAATGCCCCGGAACCGGAAGCTGCGATACACTCTGGTGGCTACCATTAGCAGCTAATATAAAATCTCCGATTTTTACATAAAAATGGAATGATGGATTATCAATAATTTTTTCAAAGTGACAGACACATTGGATTAACCTATGGATTAACCTTCAACCGCGTTTTTCTCGTTTTAATGCCATTGAACACGACTTTTGATCAGAATAACAGCTAAGGTGAGAATATCTCCCGTGAATGCTCCGTAAAGCTACGTGTTGTGATGTCTGTGTTTGCTTCCCCTGTCGCGAGTTCTGATCAGTGATGATAGTAATACCTATATAATCTGTGGAATCTCAGCTTTAATCTGATATCTTGTATGTGCAGTTACGATAAGTAATAAGGGTATTTTTACCTTGAGTTCTGTGCTAAGTGCGTTAGCATTTTTTCGCTCAGGGGTCATTTAGATGCTTCTTATGAGACTTGTGTTTTGTTTTGGTAAAAATGGTTCGTTTGTCAGTTAGCTGAGTTTCTTCCCGTTAATCTGGTATGACACATTAATAGGTTTTTAAATATTAAGAAGCCCTGAGACACAGTTTCGTGAAAACAAAAACCCCGCAGCCCGCTCTACCTCTCAGGCTTAACAGGTTAGAAAGTCCTATGATAACTTCCATAAACCACTCTCCTACTTTAAAAGACTATTTGAGTGCTTTAGTCATTTTATTTTTCCCCTTCATGTTATAAAATTGAGAGAAACATACCAGATGAATTAATAAAGGGACTATTCTTAGTCATTTTAAGTCCAAAAATATCAAATATGAATGCCTCCACCTTCTTAAAAACTAAGATATGCTGCATTGTTTTCTCTCATTTCATCTTGCATTTGAATCGATTTTGGTTTTAGACTCTGGGTTGAATACTCAATTAAAGATGTAACCTTTGATACAAAATCAATATTTCTAACCATAGTCTGATGTTTAATGAACAAAGCATTTAATAAACAAGTGAAAATACACTCATATTTTCTCCATTTCATCATTAACTACAGGTTGTGACGGTAAATCTCAACAATGACTTGACATTATTATCAGATTTTGCAGCAGCACACTTTAATGTGTTTCTACAGCACATGCCAGCTCTGTAGGTTCAGGTTCTTTCGGTCGTTCATCATCATGATCACTGAAATAATTTATGAGCTCGTGCACAAGGTCACAATCAAGGTGCTCCTCTTCATCATTTGTTACTCAGTGTGCTTTAATAAGACTTCCTGTTCAGTGGATTTCAAATCTAACTATAACATATCAGGTGTAACTCTGACCTGTCTTTTGCATTATCTTAAAGAAAATATGTACAGCCTTGTTTAGATGAATGTGCACACGTTTACCTTGCCTTTTGGTCATTATTACCTGAGTATGAATAGCATTTCCATACTGTCTAATAGGAAAACACAATCTGAGTGTGTGTCCTCCACGTTTTGACATGTTGAATAACGAGAGCAGCTAGTCCACTAACAGATTAAATGAATTGTAAGCGACTGTACAGAGCCTGGCCTCCAGCTTGCATATTGTAATACAGTGCAATCAAAAAGCTCTGATTGTTAAGGAATAATTCTTCTAGATATCTAACCTTTTGCTCTGTGACGTTTTATGATCTACTCTGACGTCTGTTATCTCCTTTAAGGAAAGGCATTGGTGCCATATGTGTTGTTGTCACCAGTTTGTGACAGGGTAATTGTTGTGGGAACGCTGAGGCACTTCTTTATCGGTGTTTGTGGACTCTAATAATGATGTGAAATCTTTGGGGCCATGAGTGTCGGACGCAGGTGGTTCAGTGTTCCCAGATGTTTAGTCTACTCCTTCAGAGATGTTGATTACTCTCTGTGAACCAGTTAAAAGGTCTAGCATAGAGAGAGGCTCTTCAGAATTGACGTGGCAACTCTCCCGTGAAGTCAGAACCTCTTTGACTTGTGATGTGAATCCTCCGGCCGATACTCTGAATAAACCCATCAGTGTTTGACATCAAAAGCTCCAACTCTCACCGTGTCTCCTTCCTGAGTCGGTGACTCCCAATGCATTGCTACACAGAAGTTTCCCCCACAATGATCATTAAAAAAGCACAGAGACAAATACAAGAGCTGTAAATCTGATCTGGATAGAGAGGAAGCATCAGGTACATCGATGTGAAACGCTGACATTACTTATGTTGGTTAGAAGAGAGATGGCTTATGTAACAGAGCGAAATAAACAAGTATATAATGAAGTGCAGATCACTTTTATTCCTTTATTTTACTCTCCTCACTCCAACAATAAGACAGCAGCATAGATTAGTGTGTCAGCATCAGAAAACAGATAAATGAGAATGTGTTATCGTCTCTGGCTCCGCACCATTATCCCATTGCTCAAGCTAATGTATTTGTTTGTCGTGTAAAAACTTTAGTAGATGCTTCAACACTTCCACAAACTTCAATATATAAAGTGTTGAAAGTGACTTTCTTGATGTTTCCTCACTATTTTGTGTCTAAAAGTCCTAAGATCACATGCATTCTTGAGTGAAATATGGAGGCTTTGTACAGACGGCTGCCACTTTGAGACGAGCTCTCCTGTCAAGTGTCGTCTTTTGAGGTAAAACTCTGAATTTCTCCGTCACATTCACAAGCGGGCGCTCCCAACAGCACGGCGCCTCCCCTCCAACAAACAGCTCCACTTTGATTCCCCTCATTTCTCCGTGGAAGTGTCCTCAAATTTCAGACTTGTCAAAGTTGTTTTGTCTTCATAATCCTCTTTGTACAACATGGCCCTGTTCCATTTCCCGCCGCCTCGTCTTCCTCTCTCCAAGAAAACAAAGCTGACAGCCACAATGTCTCTTTCATTGCACCAAATATCGTGGTGTCATCGCACAGAGCTGTCCTAGTTTTTGGGGATGTAATTACCAGTTTGGCCTCGGTTTGTCGCCACACAAACCAACATATGGCGCACATGACCTCCATCAAGGTCACGAGCAAAGCCGGCGATATCTGCTGAGCTGTAGAAAACAACTCTTGTCCAATACGGGCAATTTCTCGGGTATTGACCTCATAATCATCGCCATTTGTCATAGATGATCCGCTTCACATATCCCAGTCCCTTCACGTCTGTGATGATTAATACTGCGAAGACTGAGAGAAGCCGAGCCATCCATTAAAGCATTAAGCATTCCTGAAACTGAATTGTTTATTTAGTCACATCGCGGGAAAGAAGCAAACTTTCTGATGCTCTGCTGAAATATTAGTTTGTCTCTTTGGCGTTCATCCACGAGCGGCTAAATAATTAACACATTCTGAAAAGATAAGCAGGGGTGAACGGGGGAGGGAGGGGGGGGAAATGTCTCCCCTCGCTTACTTGTTTGCCAGGTAAGCATTTTTACGTGTGGGCGTCTGCAGAGAAAATAGAGATCACACAGGCAGAGTTATGCTAATGCTCTGCTTCGGTTCTGTACTCCAGCTTTTTACAGCAGCTCCTATCAGCCTGATATGTTAATAGGCACAATGGGATTTGGGTTTGATTAAATGTCAATGCCTGGAGGGGGAAACGGCTAATGTGGAAAGAGGGAAAAAAGCTAATTTCTCAGAATAAGAGATGCAGTGGGTCCTTGGATATTGAAGGAGGACGTTGGTCAGTCACACGATGCAGGACAGAGAAGGTTGTGTGGAGTCCCCGAGGATCAGGCCTTGACATGTTTGTGATTTACTCCGCAGAAGTAGAAGTGGTTGGAGGGCGTCTCTGTCCTTCTCTAGAAGGTGAGTGCTGAAGAGTGGGCGATAGGAGAGGGTCCTTAACTTCAATCAAGCATCTGAGCCTATTACAAAGACTCCTTTCATTACTAAATTAACAAACAAATGGGAAGTAGGAGACGAAAAGACATCTGCAGATGCGTCCTTCCTTCATGGTTATCTCATTGTTGATAAGCAAGTGTGCATTTGCATCCGTGAGTAGATTTATAATTGTAAATGAGTCATCAAATGAACTTCAGAAGAAAACTGTGTAGGTACACTAATGATCATTATGGTAATTAGTGGTGTGGAGGAGA